ACAAACAAACCAAGTTAAATAAGTTGATAATTAATAGTTAATAGATAGCCGACAAAAAGTAGTGCTGCGCGTGGTATGCGTTTTCAGGATGGTGTCGACCGATGCACTGCTGACGGTAGCTGGTATCCCACCAATTGACTTCCTGGCTACGGAGAGATGTATGAAAAAGACGTCTAAACTACCAGCGACGAAAGAAAAGCGCTTTTTGTCAGATGGCAGGAGAGACGGGGTGCAACTGGCCATGGTGCAAGGACCAGAAGGCTGATTCCAGATACTAAAGCTTGGTTTGACAAGGTAGCGGTGCGGATAGATTACTATACTACACAGTTTCCCACAGGACAAGGTTGTTTTGACGGCTACCTGAAGAGGGTATGGAAAGAGAGTAGGTACGCGACCTGTGTATATTGCAATGAAGAGGAGGATACTCCTAATCACCTACTCCAACGTGGTAGGTGGGTTTGCTACCAGACACAGCTGGAACAGAAGCTCGGCGAGAGGCTCACTGCCGCCAATTTTGTCACGCGAATGATGCCGAGTAGGAACCAATAATAGGCTTCTATACTGCTCGATTATACATGTACATAATATGTTGGTATAAAACTTAGTATGTGTACGATAGAGAGTATATAACTATACTTTCGGTGTAAAAATCTATCGAAACGCTACCCACTATGAAGGAATGCTGCAAGCATAACCGTGGTGGGATGTGTGGCGAACCACTGAGAAGTTTTAGTGAGTATGCCATTTCTGGAGAATCTCACACTTCGGGCAGCAGGGGCCGGCAGGGCAATACTGTTGAGTGCTCTGACTGGGAGTGGCTATAAAAGCTTTCCCCTGTCAAAAAAGGTAATTAATAAAAGCTGGAACAGATATGGTGGATGGAATATTCTTCTCGTTTTATTGATGTTAAAGAGGCTAATTTTTTCAGATTAATATTGAGTCATTATTATGCGAGATGCAGAAAGTTAGCTGTAACGCCTTAGAAATATTCCATTATTGTCTATCCAAATGATTTAATTGTTCACTATCGACAACATCACGTATGACCTCAGCTCGTCAACTATATAGTTATAATGATCTCAAATAGTATCAATCATCTACAATAATAAAAATGTCTTATAGCTATTAAAACTTCTATAAACAAAAACTCTGGAACCTGATTTATATTAGGGTAGACACTGATTGAGACAACACTTCAAGTGCATTTACGACACCGTTTCGTGAGGTTTCATATGGTGTTCATTTGAATTCTCAACGATCTACGGTATCCTGAAAGTTGGGAGTGAACTGTGTTTGCTAGTTTGCGTCAAAACAACACCGAAAACGTAAAAAAGAAATTAATGAAAGATACAAATTCTTTTGGTGAGGAATTTTAAGAACTGCTATGTCACATGTTTTATTTGTAAACACTGATTGACGTTGTCGCTGTTTGATTAAAAAACACGAGTTTGTTTCACTCATCCTAAGATTGCAACATTTGGGGCTGTCTAGGTCTGCGTTCAACCAGACAGCTTTTCACGATATATGCAACTCATGGGGTATCAATAGGACCCCGAAGATGCTCATATCAAATCGATAACGACCAAATTGCTCTAGGAATATGCCAATTTCGGTATTCCAAATGCTGCTTGTTTATAAACGTGCCGAACCTGGACACCACTCGTCGCCTTATTTGGATACTGGCTCACATCACCTTAGTGAGTCACACGTTTTGACGTAGGAGGGGATTGTGGAAAGGGAGGGTGGCAAGCTCGTTCTGATTTACTTATTGCTTTCTAGAACCTAATATCTTGAAGCTTTGGTATATATGGAACTAAAAAAACATGATTATTATTGCCTGGCCTATATTCTCTATAAAGGAAAGTCCCAACTTTGAGAACACCCTGTGTATAAACTTTATTTTACTGTTCTCTTCTTAGCTAAAGGTAGCATCTGCACTTCATGGACATCTATAGGTGGCTGAGGTACCTCCTTTCACAGGAAATTTTCCAAGAAAATCCCACGACCTACAAATATCAAACGTGCTTTACAGCTTGCCAACCCCTATTTTCATACATGCCAACCCGAGCTTTATCGAGATGTGTCGACCTGACTAGGAAATAAATTGGGATATTTTTTTCTTGTATTACCGCTGACATAACACGGCCTCAGCCTCGCTAGTGATGCGGAAAATATATGTATACGCTAGTATTGCGCGGTGTTTGCCTTTTTCAGCCCCCGGGAAATTCACACTTTGATCTCATTTCCACTGTTTGATAAAAAAGCTACACATCATAATGTATTCCAAAAAAACGACGTAATAATCCGGCGAAAGCTTATTTTGTGTGTGTTGACTTCACGTGGGGTACATAATTATTACACAGGCCGACATAATAAAAGATGACGTCGAGTAAGATGACTCTGCTTTTTCTACGCAACGCTGTCAGTTTATAGAAGATTATGTTTGTCACAAATTGGCTCCTCTAAGTAAGATTCGCTACGAACATGTATAACAAAAAAAACTAGTTGATCAAGTTGGTCAAACACGTTTATTTGCATATTTAACATGCTTCTCTGTGCAGTACTAGAAAATATACCACCCCTCGGTCTTTAAAAAAGTTTTAGAGGCAGGTACGCGCTTCACACAAAGCTATCTCTTGCCGATGAATTGCCCTTCCCCTCTCTCTACCCTGACAAAAATTCTTGCTGGTGCACGGTGTGTACATTTGGCGTGGCTGACGATGCAAGGTCCGTACCCAGTCCAGTAGGGGAGGCCGACTACTACACACGTGTATGCGCAGGACCAGGCAGTATATGATCGATACGGGGTCCGAAATATTTCTCCATAATTCTAAATTTTTAAGATAAATGTGGGGGAAATCTACAATGAGTAAAGGTGGGTACACTTAACGCGGCTGGAGGTAACTTTTTTAATTTTTGTGCCCCTAGCTCCGTCACCACTAGATAGGTTTTATGAACTATGAAGCTTTTTCGTTCTTGGCATAGTATTAACCTTGTGTGAAAAATTTATCAAAATCCGACTGGCACTTTCCAAGTTACAGCGGAGTCAAGGACAGACAGACAAAGGGGTGGAAATGAGTGACGTGGTTTTTCCTGATACACATGTGATACAGGGTTTGTCCGGAAAGTAATAGGACTCATTTTCTTCCGCCATAACTGTACTTCGGAGCGTGCTGGCACCGACTGGATTCGGTAGAGGGCGTTCCTAGCTATCGAATGAGCGGCTGGTCAGTTGTCTCCGAGCAATTGAAGAGTCAGGACAGGCATTTTCGCGCGACGTGTTTCTGAGAGTGGTGCAAGCCGAAAATGCAGCGTTCGTTAGAGCAGAGGTACGCGACTAAATTCTTCAGGCTTACCCAGGTGTTGCTTTAACAAGAAGTGGTGTGTTTCGGTGGCACCAGGCCTTTTTGGAGGGCCGGGAAGAGGTCGCTGATGAAGACCGTGCTGGAAGACCTTCGACTTCGACAAACACCGATAATGTGACTCGAGTGCGCAAAGTTTTGAACTCAGACCGTTGACTAAGTATTCGTTTAATTGCCCAGATGTTAAATTTACCAAAATCTGTGGTTCATGACATTGTGACACAGCATTTGAACATGCGCAAGGTGTGCGCAAAGATGGTCCCACTGACGGCCAGAAATTGCGGCGAGTGGAAGTGTGCCAAGAAAATTTGAACATGTGTGAAAGTGACCCCCAACTTTTGAATAACGTAATCACAGGTGACGAGTCGTGGATCTTTGAGTATGATCCAGAGACAAAGACGCAATCTTCCGAGTGGCACACGACGGCGCCTCCTCGCCCAAAAAAGGAAATAATGAGCAAATCCAAAGTGAAAATGGTGCTCATTGTCTTTTTTGTCATCAACGGCATCGTCCACCATGAATTTGTTCCTCCTGGACAAACCATCAACGCCAAGTTTTACGTGGAAGTGCTCAGGAGAGTCAAACGAAGGGTCAGTCGGGTCCGACAAGACATTGCAGCCGACTGGAAGTTGCACTACGACAACGCCCCGGCCCACACCGCCTTTCTTGTGAACAGCTACCTGACCAAGGCCGGCATCCCAACGCTTCCGCGGCCGCCCTACAGCCCCGTTGTGCCCCCCCCCCCCCCCCCCGGAGCATTTTGAGACGACAGAGGGGATCCAAGCAGCGGCTCTCAAGGCTATTCCGGAGAATGCCTTCCGTGACGCCTTCAATGGTGGGAAATCGCGCTGGCAGCGCTGCATCGACGCAGAAGGAGCCTATTTTGAAAGTTTTTAAAGAATTGTACGATTGGCTCAATAAATTTTTAAACCGACTCAGTCCTATTACTTTTCGGACAAACCCTGTATAACATCTAAAACTGTAATATCTTATATTCAAACTTTTTTGAGCTTGGCAATGAGATCAGGGTTCATTTGGATTGCTGGGCTGGTTTACAGTTTACTGGAACTCCTTGGAACCTACAAATTTTACCACATGAGACAGCTGCACCCCATTTATGAAATTGCAAAACGACGTGTTCAGATTTACAGAGTTGGAGTTCAAATGACCTCGGGGGTCATTACTAGACCATATTGGGGATCCTTCACAACTGCCTTTTTTGATCTGAGACACACGTCGTATAATGTCTTTCAAAAAACTAAGTACTCCTTTACTTACTATTATATGAAATTATATTACAGTAACTTCCGTTCATAACGAACTAATTTATAAGGTACTGTCTGAAATGATATTAAATTTGTGCTATTTTTCTCGCACATAACGAACCCTGTTTATAAAGAACCTCCTGATAGAGCGAACCTAAATGTTTGATGTATTCGTAAAATGTTTCGGTAATAACGAGCGTAAAACTGGATTTTACCAGAATCAGGTAACCGAAATCTTACGACCGCGTGGTGGGGTATGAGCAATCGTCAGCATCTACCGCCAGTCCGCCACCGCCATTTAGTCTGATACCTTCTTTATTCGTTGTATTCAGTGTCCTGCACTCTTGAAATCATGAGTGACGCAATTTCTAAGAAAACACGTAAAGCTCTTACTTTAAATAGTAAATACGATATCGTCAAAAGATGGCAAGGAGGTGTGAAGCAAAGTGAAGTTTGTTCTGAAATGGGATTAAGTAAATCAACGGTGAGTACTGCACAATAACATGCCCTAAACGTACATTAATAAGCAATCTGAGACATGAATTTGGTTTACAATTTTTCATTTTAATAACAGGTTGGTACGCTTTGGAAAAATAAAGACAAAATACTGGAAATGTTTGAGAAAGGTCAAAACATAAATGTGAAGGAAATTAAACACTTCACGAATTATCAAGTTGATCAGGGACTTCTGAAATGGTTTTCTCAACAGAGAAATAAAAAAGTAACCATAAGTGGTGCTATACTGCAATCGAAGGCTGACGACCTTGGGAAGAAGTTATTGAAATATGAAGAACTGAGTGAAGAACCTAAAATTAGTAGAAGCTAGATCGAAAGATTGAAAAGACGACATAACATTACCAGTGGAAAAATTGTGGATAGTTTGCTGCAGTTGATATAGACTGTGTGAATAACTGGTTGCGGAACAAGTGGCCAATCATTAGAAGGAACTTCAAAGACGAGGACATATTCAATGCAGCTGAAACTGGGTTATTCTATAAGCTTACACCTGACAGGACCTTAAGATTCAAAGGCGAGAAGTGTGAGGGTGGGAAGCTATCTAGAGAAAGAATCACTGTGCTTGTAGTTGCAAATCTAACAGGGACAGAAAAAAGAATGATATTGGTAATTGAAAGATCGAGAAACCCTCGATGTTTTAAAAACGTTTCACAGTTGCCATTTAATTACAAAACCAATACATGGATGACCTCAGAGATTTTTGATTGTGAACTGCGTAATTGGGATGTTGAGTTACGCCGCGAAAAACGAAAAATTATATTATTATTGGACAATTGTCCAACTCATCCAGATGTTTAAAATTTGGACTGTGTTAGCTTAGTCTTCATACTCCCAAACACGAGTTCTAAACTACAGCCTATGGATCAGGGTGTAACCCACAGTTTAATAGGCCATTATCGTCAAGTTCTTCTCTCGAGAATGGTAGATCTTATTGATAGTGGCGGGGAAAATCTTACAATCAATCTTTTGGATGTAATAAACATCAGTCATATGGCATGGCAGAAGGTATCTAAAGAAACAATTTTAAATTGTTCTACGCATGGGGGTTTCTTGGAGGTTGAGGACCATTTTGATCCCGACGATGACCTGCCATTAGTTGAGTGGAAAATTCAACATTAAGACGATCTTCGAGACAATATTAGAGTCAATCTTCCTTATAGTGAAAACGATTTCAATGGGTTTGTTCATATTGATGACCAAGTTGTGCCTGTCGAATACCTGGATGATGTGCATTGTAGCTGCTATGTCTTCGGCAGTTGACACTGATGATGACGGAGAAAAGGAAAATAATGATGAAGAATCTGTCGGTATGGAACTGATACCAACTCCAACCACATCAGAAGCACTTCGACATATTGACAGCGTTCATCATTTCCTTCAGTCACGAAATGCTCCGCAGCGTGTGCTAGATCGACTAGCTGAAGTGGAATATTAATGATATTCATTTCACAAAAATAAACCAAACTAAAATAAATGATTTTTTTAAGAAATATTTTCAAAAACGTTTATAAATATGGATTATAGATATTATTATATACTACTACAAACATTTTATATAAGCCTGGTTGAATAATAAACTAATGAAAGATATTTTCTGGTATTAGCATTATTTATCGTTTATCACGAACTTTGCGAACCAGTTTCGCCGGTCCCTTGAGGTTCGTTATAAGCGGACATTACTGTACTTTCATGTTTAATATTTGTTTACCTTTTAGGTATTTCTTATTATCGTTACCAACATAAGGTGAACAATGTACTTCCAAATAGGGCACTGCGGTCAGTAATGGCGATTTCTTTAGTTTTTTGTGGAAAAGGTAGTTATTGGGTGAATGTACTGCTTTCAAATGGCTCAAAACTGTATCATTTCTTATTGTGTATTCATGGTTTTATTTTTATAATTCAGTGCTGTCTTGCTATGATATTCCGTTTCATTTTTTATTCTATTACTATAATCATTTTTTTTCTTTGAATATTGATACCTAAATAGTGGATCCTCAGCGAATTTTATGTTAAATTTGCTTTAATGACTTTAATGACAGAATCGACAACTTCTTGTTATAATGATGATTAAACGATCTGTGTTGCCTCTGTTTCACTGATTAATTAAGTACTATTAAGATTCAGAAGAAACATGGCTCAGCTTGTAAAGTACAGACATGCAATTGATTTGATTTTGCATATCCGTAACTATCTCTCCACCTGTCTCTGAGCACAAATCTGCCCGTTATTGGCCAAACAATGATATAGGCGACGTTCAAATTCCAAACGGACATTTTCAAAAACATGTTTTGGTTATGATGATGACAGCTTTCGATGATGCGTTGACAAAGTTCATCCAAACTCTTAGGCTGGGGAGTAAACACAATAGATCTTAAATGGCACCATACAAAAAACTCTAATGGCTTCAAAACAGAAAATCTAGCAGCCCATTCTATAGGCCCTCTTTGCCCTTTCCATTTATTTGGAAACCCGTCGTCTAGACCTTACCGAACCGGAAGAAACTTGGTGAGGAGGAGCGCTGTATTGTTGTAAATATATTTCAGCCTCATCAAGTATAGGGTTTCCATCCTCTTGGATTTGGTTTCCAATGGTTTCAGTGATAAGCGAATTGATGGTATTTTGCAACATATCCAAATAAATGGCTCCATTCAAATTTACATTAATCAGCAATGACCCATTCACTTTGTTTCATGAAATGCCTGGTCATACATTAATTTTTTGGAGGTACTGGGAATGCCCTTCTACAAAAGCCTGAGAATTTTCATTGCTCCAATACCTGCAGTTATGCATATTAACAAATCCATTTAGATAAAATTTGCATTCATCATTGATGCAGATATTCTTTAAATGAATGGTACTATCATTAATCTCTGCAGTCATTTGTTCACAAAACTCAACTCCCCTATCGAAATCATCTTCAGTTAAGTCTTGCAATAGTTTCATTTTGAAAAGGTGAAATTTATGGAGTTTAGTAACTATGTGTACAGAGCCTAATGAAATACCAGTGGCAGCAACAATTTTGCGTAATGACGTATTAGGACTTATTCCAAGGTGACTCAACGCTTCAACTTTGCAACAGATAAAGCTGCAGTAAATTTATTAACAATCATTTCCACTCTTTCGGCTAGTGTGTAAACCATTTTGAAAATAAAATCTGAATCAATAAATTAATTTTCACTACCCCAAGATAGTCACAAATTCTTTCTTTCTCTTAGCAACAAATAACTAAACAGGTACAACAATAAATACGGTTTGCCCAGGATACCAGTGTTATCAAAATAATACGGAAAAAAATTCGGGTTGTTATTTGGTTGCGATCACGTCTAATCTTCCGAATTGCTGTTCATGTTGGTAGTTTCCGTTTTAAATTATAAACGAATTGTAGATTTGGCAAACCTGACACTAATTGAAATAAAAAGTGATATTTTCGTGTGTTTTTGTTTTCTATCTGAACAACTTGAGATAAACAAAGATTTTTCCGATTTTCTCAAAAGCTGATTTCAAAAAATTAAATGTCAAAACAAAGGACTTCGAAAGACCTTTCAAACAAGCTTTTACTTGATACCGCTTGTCATTTAAAATTTTTAAGGGAATGACAATGAGGGCCGAGGGTGAAAGGGGGTGAAGTGGTATTCGGTTGAGAAGTTGTCCCCCTGGACAAATTTTTTGACATGCCTCGGCGTTTTTCATTTAAATCAATGGTTTTTGTTAAATCCGTGGTAAAAAGTTTTCACTTGAACACCCTGTTTATAATATAAATGAATACATTGCGAGGCACGTACTATAACGTCACGGCTTTGGCGATAAAGGGAGATTCTATAAAACATGTATCTCAAGGCAGAGTTCTAATCAACGCCTGCTTGTATTTCTAATTAGAGATGACTGTAACATTAGGATAATATATTCCAACCCTCATTACTCAGGCATTTGTACAAAACCCAAACGAATCAGCGTTTGACCTCAGTCGTCGCTCTCATCTCCGAAGCATTTATGTTGAGCGTGATGAAAATATGACCCTTTCTCCAATTGGACCGAAGTTTCTAAATTGTTGGAGCAGATGGTTACCCAAAATAATGAAACGGAATACGTGCCTTGCTACAGTAATGTCGGTGAGCTCTGTTGTTAGAGGATGTAGTCTGAATTATGACGTTACTAAGTTAAGAGCTACGGGTGCTAGGTCTGCTGGAGTTAACATGTAAGTTGTTAGAGGTAAATGCTGCTTGCATACTAAAGGTATTTTGGTAATATTTATTCTGAGAAGGTGGGAGTGCGACCATATACATATTGTACGCCTGGCAGGATTGCGACAAAAAGCTTGTTATTTTCAAAATATTCTTTCCCAACTTGATGATGTACTGCTAATTACCCATTTTCCTCAAGCACGTTCGATCGGATCATGATATCTAATTGCTGAGCATTTGTGTCACTCAAGGAATATCTGGTACATAATAAAGAAACCAAAGCTACTCAATTGTATAAAAAAGTCCTAGCACCGTCGGCAAAATGGAAAATCTCCATTACTGTATATGAAATAATATCCTGCTGAGTTATAGAAATAAAGCATTCTATAAATATCAACGTGTGAAATAAGATGATGGACCTAAAACAGGAAACTATAGGTTTTTCAAAGGAACACTCACAGGACATGAAAATCAAGAACTTCCCTGTGAGAATAACCGCAATGACAGTACGTTGGAGCTTATTTCTTTTTGATTAAAATCAGAACAGAGAAAAGAGGAAGTGAAGTTCGTGTTTTTATAAAACGTGAACTAGTCATGAATAAACGAACACGACAATGCATACGTAGAAGTTTGTTTTCAGAAATGTATTTGCTTACTACGATTGCATATCTTCGGATTATCTTGTTATACTGGGTGTTTCAGAAAGGCGTGCCAATATTTGCATAAAGAAGTAATAAAAAAAAATACAGGGTGTCTGCGAACGGTTGAGAAATTTCAAAACTGGAGCTACTACAGACCAAAATACGTTAATTGACCTTAACATACCTTTGTTCAAAAGTTGATAGTTTGGGAGATACAGGGTGTCAACGTTACAATTTTATTTTCTATTTTTCCTTATTTTCAGAAAAGTATTTCAGATTTTGTCATAAAACTCGGTATAGGGAGGCTTTCTAGTATGATAAATAAGTATCCATTATTTTTATGACCAAACTTCTAGGGGGCGCCACTTATTTCAGTAAATAACTTATCATAATTTTTTGTGCTACCCTGTATACAGCAACTGACCGAAAAATCTTATTTTCTCGTATTTCCACTAGAAAAAATGTATTTACTTGTTATAAGTGTCTAAAGCTAATATTTTTGCGAGATATTTGTTTTTAAAAGTTCCAATGCATTATCTGTACCATGATGATAAAACGTGTTTATAACATAATAATCAAGTTGCTTTGGATAATATCTGAGTAGCGTTGCTATAGTTTCTAATGTTTGTCATAATATTGCTTTAAACTTCATGAATAATTTCAAGTTGACAATAAGTTGTTAAACATCATGGAGTATACGTTTGATGAATATTCTGATATGCATTTAATGTACGGATTGGCAATATGTAATGCTTTAAAAGCAGGAACATTGTATTCTGACAGATTCTCTGATAGACACCTGCCTAATTCGAAGACTTTCCAACGAATCAATTAGCGGTTACGAAATGATTATAGCCTTATTTTGGATAGTAAAAACCATTTGGGCTTTAGGTAGTTTTGCTCAAAATATGGGCCGACAAAGTGGAGCTCCCAGAACTGTACGTACAGCTGAAGTTGAAGAAAATGTTTTAGTCTTTGAAAATCCAACAGTTGGGGTTAGGAATGTAGTTCGAGTATTTCAAGTTTCCAAATGTACGGTAAATACCATTTTTCAAGAGCAACTGCTCCATTCATAGTACCTGCAAAAAGTAGGTACATGGTTTAAGCGCGGATGATGAACCCACAATTGTTTTACTTCGTTAATATTATTTTCGCACGAAGCAGGATTTGGAAGGGATGTGCCCATTGGCTCGCATAATTACATGATCAAACGAACTTACCTGTAAGTGATGTTCGATCTTAATTGTGTGAAGTCCTCGTCGAAGTAAATATTTAGAATACATATCATAGTACCCTCGTAGTAGTACCAAACGCCACGATTTCAAAGTGCGCACACAGAGAAAGAAAGCGGCACCACGCCTCTTCTCCCTACCTTTCTCCCCTCTGGCCGCCTATAATCCTTGATTCCTTGTTCTCGTGCCAGACCGTCAAGACGTTAATCGGGGTGCCTCGTTTACGTGCAGTGCAGTATCAAGGATCCGCTGAACATTTAGAATTAGAAAACACAAGAGAAGGTTGGCCGATAGATACGCATTGTCGAACGAGTTACCGACCGACGGTCGCCTGAAGGTTGCTTTCGTCGCCGACCAAAATTAGAAAGTGGCGT